AGTGAAGGAACAGCTCTTACCAGTGAAGGAACACAAAATTGCCCAGTAAAGGAACACTTAATTTTGGTTATTTTTTAATGCTCTTTATGAATTTATTAGCCATACAAATATATAAAAACAAGACTATTTATGAAATTATAACATACAAGTACTTGTAAAATGCTAACTTTTTTCTGTAATCATGAACTAGAAATTGAAGTGATGTTAAATACAAAATAAATAAAAAAAATCATTATTTCTTATAATTTGACAGTCAAATCTAAATCATTGTGTCATCCGATGCTGTTTATTATCATTATTATTTTATCACCTTTTTGTTTACTCTTTTTCCTCTTATTTCTTGAAGTTTTTTTTCTTTTTTAAGTATTTTTTCTTTCTTTTTCTTCTCCATATCTCTTGTTTTAACTTTTTTTAGATATTTCAGCCTCTTGAATTTTTTGCCATTTCTCTGAAGTTAGTGCAAAAAGTAATTTATTAGTTTTTCTTCTTATTTGACCTTTCTTTTTATCATCAATATTTGACCGATGTAAATGGTTCTTCTAAACTTCTTCTGAATTTTCAACAACATTTCTAGAATGCCTTTCTCGAAAGTAGACGGGGGAAAGGTGTCTTGAAGTTTGAGGAAAATCCATCTCTTGTTGTACTGAAGTACTGATTTTACTTATAGAATCATTTCTTTTTTCAACTAAGAGAGGATCAGCATGAGGACTCATTTCAAATTCGATATCTAAGATGCATTCATTATCAATACTAGCTTCAGTTCCTAAGTTTGACTTAACCAAGTGGTCTTCTTTTAATACGTACTTCTTCCATATTGTAAAAAGTACAGGCTGTTGGACATTTTCGATGTTAACTCTTCAGTCAATGCTGCGTTAAAAATTTGCAACATATCTTGAGGGATTTCCCTTTCAAGCTTCTGAAGAAATTGAGTATCGTTTCTATTTAACTCTGTTTCTTGTTGAGGAGCTTGCTTCTAAATTCTAACATAGTAAAGTAGTTTTTATAAATTTTATAATCACGTTGCTATCCTATAATGATAGCTTATTAGGAGTTCTTGGTGCAAAAGCCAGCGAAAAAATGTTCGATTCAAGTTTTTATGATTATATTTAATTAGTTTTCGATTTGTAAACATAGTTCATTAAGTTGCCTAACATTTGATGTAACTACACACCCCATTAATAAATATAAATTATAATTTTTTCATAAATTAAGCTATTAAATTAACATTTTGAACTGAAATTATTACAGGAATTATTCATACAATTTTTAACAAAATCTTGGTTGTCCTCTATATAGCAGAATTACTTATTCTAGAGTCATGTTAAATCATATTTCTCACATTACTGTTATCGTCATACTGATTCTGGTATCATTTTTACTGGTTTTTGATACTGGTTTTACGATTTTTTTCCAATAGGGAATGCAATTAATAGATAATGCACATTTTCAAAAATATATTTTACTATTTACAAATATTGCGTACAGGTTTATACATAACATACACACGTATCAGTTTAATGTTTTGAGTAATTGAAAACGTAACATAAATAAAAAATAACATCATTAAAAAGTAACATAATTAAAAAATAACATAATTAAAAAATAACATAATTAAAAATATATATAATTAAAAGACTAAAATAATTAAAATATATATATATAGTGAAAGATAATTAAAAGTTTCTAATGCGATGTAGCACTACTTTGATTTTTTCTCACATTTTCAGCGAGATTTTTTTTTCTTTTTTTTCCTTGAGTGCTGCTCACGAACGCCCAGAGGATATCCTCTTGCTGCCCCTGGTGACTCCAACTCTTCTACGGCTTATTGAAGATGGTTGGACCTTAATTTTACGTCCGGAGGTTTTAGAAATGTGGGCACCAGCTGTACTTTGAAAGGAGTCCCATGCACTCCGAGTTTTAGCAACATCGATCCTTTTCTTTATCCTGTTTAAAAGTGTTCTGGACGTGTCAAATTTCTGATAGCATCTTCGTTGAGCCTAAAATATTAAAGCAATTCTCTAAGAATTTCCAATATTAAATACCTTTAGAATTTGCAGTAAATTATTAAAATCAGACAAACGAGTAAATAATCTTAATATTGTTTATTTCAAGTTTTTCATTATCCATAAATTAGAAAAATAGTCAAAGATATGAAGAAAAAAAAAGAGATCATTTTCGTCTTGAAATATTTATAAAAGAAATTTTAAATATTTTAAATTTGCTATCATAGAAATATTACTCATAATATTTGCTCTCATAGAAACAGTATCGTTACAAAATGTCTTATTAAAAGGAAGTCGAAAATAATATGAATATCTTATTAAAGCTCACTATACTTATAGTTTAAATTATTAGATAAAAAAAAAGCTCTTTCCAGAAACATATAGGTTATCGGCTCATATAGGTTATCGGAAATTGAAAAACTACTGCATTTAACTGCCATATGCAATTTTAAACCAAAATATTCTTATGTTCATTCGTCCAAACGGCATTTCAATCTCGAAAACTTTTAATTTAACACTAATAGCGAACCTTCCTGTTGTCAAATATTAATAATAATTATTATTTTCAACAACTTTTTTAAACACAATTTTTTTATTCTCGAACTTTATACTATCATTCATATGAAGATTTATGTACTGAACATAAATATATTATATGTTATCGAACTTATATATTTTAGACATAGATCAATTAAATTAATTTTCACTTATGTGTCTAAACATTAAGAAAAGAAAAACTTTTAATTACAATAAATCTTTTGTCTAAGCATTTAAATAGTTAAACAAAACTAATTGATAATTATTAGTAAACATTTTAATTACCATTAAAGCGTAGCTGTGAAAGCTAATTTTTACTTTTTATAATAGATATTCATTTTACTTGTTTCTTTTTTTGTTTCTAAATGTTCTTCAAAATGCAAAGCAAATCATTATTGTCAACAAGCTAAATTATGATTATTATTATTTGATTAGTAATGTATTATTAAATTCTACTTGCATTTTAAAATGTAATACTCAATTATTCAATGAATTTTACGATTATTATTATAAAATTGTGTATACTGAACATTTCAACTAAAATAATTAGTACAAAATAGCTGCTAAAAACTCTCTTAAACATTTATAAATCTATACATTTATAAACTTCAGCTTTTCACATTATTGCTAAATAATCTCTACATCGAAAACATACAAAGAATTTTCTAATAACTGAAAATTAAATAAAATTTTTAAAGAAATTGTAAATGGTTATCGAGCAGAACCATTAATTTTAATAAATGAATATAGAATTGGAAACAAAGTCTCTGCTAAACAATAAAAAAAATTAAATCTTTTCAGTAAACAAATTCTATTATAATAACCATTTCATTATTAAGGATTAAAATTTATTGTGAAATTATTAATTTTAATTCGTGGGTGAGTAGGAAAAGAAGTTCACTATTCGAAATACATTAAATGAAAGTTCTGAAAATACAGAATTGGTTATGGGGGTAATAATGTCTAATTTTTTTTTGTTTTAGCTTTATTACGACCTTTTAAAGAACGCTTATAAACACAATTTAGTTAACAGATACAAAAGATTATGTCGACGCTATAACAAAAAAATACACTTTATATTTCATTTAATGCAGAATTTGACATTAAATCAGAAATAATGAATAAATTAATAATAATTTACCTTCACAAATTTATCATTTCTTTTTGTATTTGCAGTTGATTGCTTGATGGTTATACAAATGTAAGCAGTGCACTGGCAGTCTTTTGTCCTTCTAATAGCAGCGTTACTTTTATTACGACTGCTGTGGTGGCACACATAGTCTTTTCTAAAAGGATAAGAAAAGCATAATTTAGTAACAAATTATTCAAATATGTATAGAAAAATTATAACACAGTTAAAGAGCACGTACTTGCAAATAAGTTTTTTTTTGTCTCAGTTGGACGAGATCTGCGTGTAATCCATGATGTGCAAGTATTTTCGTTGAATGCGTCAATCCAAGCTTAGATGTCATTATATGATATAATGGAAGAGCGGATTTCCATCATTTTTGGTGATGATATTCTAGAATTTGCTTGGGAGATCCGCTTCATTGATATTAAGAAAGGTCGCATCCATATCTAACTTGTTGAATATTGCGCGATACCAAAAACAAAACAAAAACATAAGCACACAGCTGTTTGGCGATTTGCGAGA